CTCTCCCTATTTATTTCAGAAACCCCTTCCCCTCCCCCATTTCTGAAGAAGGGTCTAGGCCCGAAACGTCAGCCTTCCTGCTCCTCTGATGCTGCTTGGCCTGCTGTGTTCATCCAGCTCTACACCTTGTTATCTCATATCCATCCGTCCCTGTTTGCATTTTGTTGCTTTATTTGTTCCATTTCCATTCCTTTGATCTGCACCATGAACCATTTTGTCATTTGATCTCTTCTGCCTCTGACAGACCTTCCCTTTAATTGTTCTTCATATCCTCCTCCTTTCATTTGCTTAAAACCTACTATTCCTCAAAGTTAGAAGTTAGAGACCTAAAGTATTAACTTTGAGTTTCCCTTCACATATAGTGGTCGACCCCGGTGAATTTTTGACATTTTCAGTTTTAATCTTGAAGTGATAGCTCAATAGAATCCATCATAAAAACCAACAATTTCAATGTATTTGTATACAGCAGCGTATTTACGTATCATCCCCGAACCAGTGCTTAATTCCATGTGATCGATTCAAATCAGACTAAATATCCAGTTATTTAAATAATTACTCACCATCTTTGGAGGTGATCGAACAGGTGAATGCCTTTTAAAGTATAAATCGCAACATGTTGCTTTTTCTAAGAGGATGCTTGTCTCTGCTTTCATTCAAAAGGGATTCTTTTCATAATTCTATCAAGTCAAACTTGCAAAGAGACCACAGACTGCTCCTAATTATGAGGACATGTGAAAAAAAATTGTAAAATACTTTACAGACAGCAGCTAACAAGACCTCATCCAGACTTTCTTTTCTGATTCACCACTCCTGATAATCTATTCCACATTTTTATCATTTTCACATCTTATGAAAAATTTACAAAATAAACTTACATTATTTACTTTGTTTAGATGGGGCAATAATCCGAAGAAACAAATTAAAGACACCCATAACAAAATAAAGTTATTGATGAAAATCCTCTTCACCTGGAAGATTGTTAGAAAGTAAAATTCTTAGCTGCAAATCATTTTTGAAGCAAATATTATGTATCTCATTTTGAAAGGGAATTACATAATGAATTAAAAAAAGACTACAGAGAATGAACAAGTTAAGTGCATTTTAACTTGGTGGCTCATAAGGAAGAAAACATCAGGACAGATCCGAGTTCAGTTACTTGGCCTTGTACGGTAACCGTCTATATAAGTAATTTGTAACCTTGTGACCCAGCATATCCTCGTGTTACAATCACCGTCAAGCCAGAAATCAACTCTGCTTCAATGGTGAGTTCAACACATCTTGCCCGGAGCAACAATAGTATAACTAAAAAAATGATGGCTACCTGGTGAAGCTACCACATGGAGCTCTTTGCACGCCAAACAGCGGGTGCAGTATGTGATGGACGGAGCTAAGCAATCAATGGATCAAGTTTAAACTTTTCAGTCCTGCTGCATCAGTTCGTGGTGAACAGTTAACTAGGGTAGGATGCTGCATGACATCCATCTACAATAATGTGGGATCCCAACACATTGGTGCACAAGATGAGGCTGAAGCCATATTCAGCCAGAGTGTCAAGTGAATGACCATGTCGGCCTCTTCTTGAGATCCTCAGTGTCACAGATGCAGGTCTTCAGCCAATTTGATTTATTTCATGTGATGTCGTTGAAGGCACTGGGTGCTGCAAATGTAAAGGGCCCTGACAACATTCTGGCATATGTGCCATGCTGCTAGCCAAGCTGTTCCAGTACAGCTACAGTACTGGCATCTATCTGACAAGTTGAAAATTGCATAGGTAAGTTTTGTCCAAAAAAAAGGTCAAATCCCAACAGCCTACTATCTATCATCAGCCAAGAGATGGAAGGTGTCATTGACAGTGCTATCAAGTGGAAGAAATTGCCCACTTACTGACACTGCCTTTGCGTTCAGCCAAACCCTTTTGCCCCTGAATTCATTACAACCTTAGTTGAAACAAAGATAAAAGAGCTGAGCTTAAATGGTGAGATGAGAGTGATCGGCCTTGACATCCAGACAGCTTTTAATCAAGTTTGGCATTAAGGAAGCCTCGCAAAACTGAAGTCAATGGGTAGCAGGGGACAAAATCTCTACTGACAGGAGTCATACCCAGCATGAAGGAATGTGGTCGTGATCTTTGGAAATCAATCATCTCAGTCCCAGAGTACCTCCTAGGCCCAGCAATCTTCAGCTACTTCATCAATCATCCTCCTCCTGCATAAGGCCAAAAGTGGCCATGTTTATTGATGTTTGCAAGATGTTAGTACCATTCATGACTCTCCAGATATGGAACGTAGAAAAAAAATAGAAAATAAGAGCAGGAGTAGGCCATTCAGTCATTTAAGCCTGCTTTGCCATTTAGTAAGATTGTGGCTGATCAACTCAGTATCATGTCCCTGCTTTCACCACATATCCTTTGATCCCTTTAGTCCTAAGAACTAGATTTAGCTCTTCCTTGAAAACGTTTTTTAACCTCAGTGGCTTGCTGTGGCAGAGAATTCTGCAGGCTCACCACTCATTTGATGAAGAAATTTCTTCTCTTCTCATTCCTAAATGGCTTACCTTGAATCCTTAGACTGTGACCCATGGTTCTGGACTTCTGGGACATTGGGACCATCTTTCCTGCATTTACCGGTTGAGTCCTGTTAGAATTTTATCAATTTCTTTGAAAATTCCCCTCGTTCTTCTGAACTCCAGTGAATGTAGTCCTAACCGATGTAGTCTCTGTTCATATGTTAGTCCTGCCATCTGAGGAATCAGTTTGGTAAACTATGCTGTACTCTCTTCATAGCTAGAACATTCTTCCTCACATAAGGAGACCAAAACTCCGCACAATAGTCTCACCAAGATCCTGTATGATTGCAACCAGTCATCCTTGCTGCTGTAGTAAAATCCTCTCGCTTTGAAGCTAACATACCATTTGTTGTCTTCACCACCTCCGTGCTTACGTTCATCAGCTGGTGTAGATGGACACCCAGGTTTCATTGCACCTTCCGCTTTCCTAATCTATCACCATTCAGATGACAATCTGCCTTCTTGATTTTGCTACCACAATGGATAACCCCACATTTATCCACATTGTACTTCATCTGTCATACATTTGCCCACTCAACTTGTCTAAGTCACACTTAACATCTGTACATCCTCCTCACAGTTCACCCTCTCACACAGCTTTGTGCCATATGCAAAGTTAGAGATATTACATTTAGTTCCCTCATCTAAACCATTAATATATATTAGAATAACTGGGCAACACTGATCCCTTTGGTATCTACTAGTCATTGGCTGCCACTTGGAAAATGATCCATTTATTCCTACTCTTTGTTTCCTGTCTGCCAGCCAGTTGTCTCCATGTCAGTATACTGTTCCCAATCCTATGCACTTTAGTTTTACACGTTAATCTCTTACGTAGGACCTTCTCGAAAGCCTTCAGAACGTTGTAGTTAACCGCAGCCGTATGGCTCCCCGTATCAACTCTATTAGCTACATCCTCAAAGTTCCAGTAGGTTTGTTGAGTATGATTTCCTTTTCATAAATCCACACTAGCTGTTCAATCCTGAAGCAGTACATGTTCATGTGTAGTAAAATCTAGACAGTGTTCAGATTAGGGATTATAAGTGATAGGTGACATCATGCCAAACAATTGCCAGGCAATTACCATCTCCAATATCAGAGAATCTGACCAGTCCTTGACATTAATATTCAAGAGAATTGTCATCACTGACTCCCCAACTAGCAGCATCCTGGTGGATACTATCAACCAGAAACTGAACTAGACCAGCCGTATAAATACTGCCCAGACGAGCAGGCCAGAGGCTGGGGATTTTACAGTGGGTAATTTGCATTCTAATTTCCGAGAATGCCCAAAGTCTACAAGGCACAAATCACAAGTGGGATGGCAACTGTCCACTTGTTTCAATAAGAGTGACTCCAGCAATGCTCATATTTGGCACCAAGCAGAGCAAAGTAGCTCACTCGATTTGTTACCATTCATCTACTTCAGCATTATTTCCTTCCCCCTCCAATGCACAGTGTTGGTAGCTTCTTGATGCAGAAGAGCAACTTACCAAGGCTTGTGTAATAACATTTCCCAAACCTGCAACCTCTACCACCTAGAAAGGACAAGGGAAACAGATATATGGTAACAACACTATCTTTGTGTTCCCCTCTCAGCCACATACCCTTTTGACTTGGAACTATATAGCTGATGTTCCTTCGCTATTGCTGAGTCAAATTGCGAGAACTCCATTCCCTAAAAACATCATGAGTATACCCCATGGACTGCAACAAAACACTATTCCTCACCATCTCTTTCAAGGCATCTTAGGTTGGGCAACAAATATTTGCTTTTCCAGCAATGCTCACATCTTGACATAGAGTAGTTATATAAAAAGTAAGTCAAAATAACTGTATTGCATCTTGAAGCATTACATAGGAAATATGATGTACATTTTTCTCTTTCCTTTCTACAGGAAGCTGAGGTTCCACATACTTTTAACGTTTATTTTTTAACAGTATATGTGATGCCTGAAGTTTTTTAATGGGTAAAAGCCAGTGTGGCTGTCTCATCATCGACATGTATGCATACAAGGAGAAGAGTTAACATATTAAAACTCTATTTTCTTAGAATTGTAAAGTTGGCCTTTAATGTCATTGCCAAACTTAAAAGGCAAAAGTCAGCATTTAAAATTACATATTGGCTCTTCAAATAACATTACTCTGTGGTATCGATGAAGTTTTCAAGCTGTGGTGAAAGTAAATAATAATTAAGCTACTAGATTATGATTTGAAGGAGCCATACTAGCTATTATGAATTTAGGTGCCAAACTTTAATGGTATTGCATTTGGAAAAGTAAATTATCTTTGTAATATTCACTTAAATTGGTCTGAGAGCTCCACCTCCATGAATGTTCTTGGGAAATGCATCTATATTGTCTAACATGTACCAATATAACAGTCAAAGTATTGCATTTGTGTGTTGAATCACACTTTTTTTGCTTCTGTTTTAGTCTGTGGCAAAAACTGGAAGGTTGCTGATTAGCCATGAAGCTCCAATAACAGGGGGATTTGCTGCAGAGATCAGTTCCACTGTTCAGGTGTGTGAGTAAATATCTGTGGTTGCACTATCAATGAATGAAGATGTTTAATTGCGTTGGTTTACTTTATGGAAACAAATGCATAGTTTTATTTAATGTATAAGAGTGTTGTGAAATCATACAAACATAATATGAGTAAACAGCATAGGAGCTGAAGTTTGAGCCTGTTGCAACAGTCAATAAGGTCGTGACTGATCTATTTGTGTTCCAAATTCCACACTTCCATCTACCACATTTGATCTCCTTGCCTATCAAGAATCCTTCTACCGTTGCCTTAAAAATATTCAATAACCCTGCCTCCATTGCCTTCTGAGGCAGAGTTCCAAAGTCTCTCAATACACTGAAATAAAAAAAAGTATGGTTTGGTTTATTTTTTTTTCAGAAAATTGGAAAGATGTTATTTTCCCACATTATACTTACATAAGAAATATCTGAATTGAACACTTTGAAGGGAAAGAACATGTTATCAATCTAGCAAAGTGTGGTGTATTACACATCTTGTGATTTATTTTAAAAGACAGCATCATGTTTCTGAGGAAGGGTCACCTGACCCGAAACGTTAACTCTGATTTTTTCTTCACAGATGCTGCCAGACCTGCTGAGCTTTTCCAGCAAATTCTATTTTTGATCATGTTTCCAATGTTTGGTACCGAAGTTTTCTTCTGCCCCAGACCATGCATCAACTGTAGCTAACCAATAGATGTGCAACTTCCTTCAAAGCCTCCATGACAAGACCCACAGTAGTGGATAAGACTAGAAATAAGACACCCTCTTTGATGGAAAGCCACTTGAAAGGTACACCACCCATCCATAGATGGGCATTTACTGGCAAACATAATGAAGTTTGACATGATGCCAGTTCTGAGTGCCTCAGAAAACAGCAATTTTGCGTTTAAACATTTCAACAAGTATCAATTCCACATTTCATTTTTGTAAATTTACTTCCAAATCACTATCTCTGTTATTCTTCCCTACCATCTTGTCTTGAAGGTGGTGATTCAGGCTGCTGTCACTTTCTCATACCTTGCCCAAATAACTAATTAACTTGAGAATCATCCTTGACAATGAGTTGGCAGTGTGTGATGTGAACATGGGGAAGTTTAGAACTGGACCAGATCCCCTCTAAGACATCCATATGATTGCATTTCTGCTTAGGATGGGGCCACTGTTTTGAGCAAAAATTGCATGTGGGTATCTTTGACAGTTTTCTATACGGTCAGGCTATAAAAGCCAGTGGTTATGTTCTGTCTGAAATCTTCAAACTTGCATTGACCAGAGATCAAAACTGGAAATTTCCTACTGTTAAGACACAAAAATTGACATTTAGCATTAAGTAATTTAAGCCTAAACTGTCAGATGAGAAATGGATGTATGCTATCATGTCTTACCACCTCATCCAGTTTTGCTCTTCATAAAACAGGCATCTATCCAGACCATTTTTTGGATTAGGATATACTTGGCCCTTTCATCACAGAACTGTGGGCTTGACTGTTCACTGTTGCCATACTTTCCTTTGTGAACTTCAATTAGAGTGTGCAAAAAAAAAAAATCGTCAGGAACAACCTGTGTTAAAGCAGTAATATGCATGAAAGTCCTGCATAGGAGCTTATAGCCAAACGTGAGCCAAAATGATCAAATTCTTCTGGTGTGCTTTGCCAACATAACTCGTATTATAAAAGTCTGTGAATATGGTTCATATCTAACCTATACTTTCAGTGGTCATACAAATTTCAGTATATATTCTTGCTTTTAGAATTGACTGCTCTTCGAGCAACAATTTATGATTCTACATAATGTTGTTTAACTATAAACCATTTGGATATTTATTGGGGATTTCAACATCAGAAAACGCTTGCAGCAAATTGTTTAGTTAACTTCCAAACTCATGAATTAATTTGTGGCTTTTGATTCTGTATTCCTGTAATTTAGAATGTTAGAATTTTCAGTGAATTTGGCAGAGATGTAATTGGAAAGCATTACGTAGCAGTGTCTGATATTTTAATGTTTTTATGTAGTCCACAGATATAGTTATACACATACAGACACATGCAAATGCACGGGCGCACACACACCCCAACTAAAGTATGAATAAATTTGGCAGCATCTGTGGAATGAGAAACAGAGTTAACCCAGACTCACCTTTACTGGCTCCATCCCCACCTCTTTGACTGGTCTCTCTCCTCTCCACCTATCTTCTCCTCTATCCATCTTCTATCCGCGTCCCCCTCTCTCCCTATTTATTTCAGAACCCCCTTCCCCTCCCCCATTTCTGAAGAAGGGTCTAGGCCCGAAACGTCAGCCTTCCTGCTCCTCTGATGCTGCTTGGCCTGCTGTGTTCATCCAGCTCTACACCTTGTTATCTCAAATTCTCCAGCATCTGCAGTTCCTACTATCTCTTTCAACTTTAATATGACTTTTCGGGCATTCTGAAGAAGAAAGATAGTCGGCTTGAAACATTAACTCTGTACCTCTGCTGCCAGATCTGCTGAATTTTCCAGCACTTTGTATTTTTATTTCAGATTTCCAGAGTATGCAGCATTTTGCTTTTATATGATTGAATATTCTGTTTCTCTATTATTTAAAAGTTTTGCAAATTGCTTGCACTCTTGTTCAAATTGTTATAACTGGTAACTATTGTTGATTGCATGTTGACCAATGGATCAAATAATTCCTTTCTTTTAACAGTTGTGGAACACTGGAATTATGGAAACATTTTTCACAACCTGACATTCATGCTCATATTTCTCACAGAAGTTCAGTTTACCAGTCTCACTGGGTGAAGTAAAGTAATAAGCAGTTTAGGGAAGATCACTTTCTATTGCCACTTAAGTATTTTTTAATGAATGATGATGTTTCCATCATTGATGAGTATTAACTGCATCTGTGAATATGACCTTGTGCTGAATTGTATCATCCGTCTGTTGAAGACAATAGTATCCACCAGTCTTTCTGGATCAAATCTTTTACATGGATTTTAACTGAACCTCCTGTTGTTTACAAATTTAATTTTATATTCAGTTCTCAAAATTATTTTAAAAATTCTTTTGTTTCTAAAAATTCAGAAGTGTGTTGGTATTTAGTAAATCCAAAATTGACTTAAGTGAAAGAGTAACTTTCAGGAATACCCAATGTGGTTTGTCACACTTGATATATTGTATCTAAACCAGGTCATTTACCTTCTGATGTCTTATTAAAGATTTGTTCTGCATAATTAAAGTGTGTCAATGACAAGTCCTAAAAAAAGTATTATTATCAACCTGTTCAGAGTTCAGTTTCACATCTCTGGAGCAAGTGGGACTCGAAGCCAGGCCTCTGAGACCATGGGTAGGGATACTACACTGTGTCACAAGAGGGCCCTCAAAATGACAAATTCTAATGGAAACATTCCAAAAGGGCATCACTTTAATTGGTTATATGACAAGATGGAGGGTATCCTTAATATGAAGGCGGGCCTTTGACTGTATGGTAGTTAATCCAACCTATACTGCCATAGATGAACGCTTCTGTGATGGGTAGATTGGTGAAGATGAAGTCAAGTAGATTATTCCTCATTTTTGTTCCCTCATCATTTGCCATTGACTCAGTCTGGCAGCAGTGTCCTTTAAGAGTTGGCCAGCACTATTAGTAGTGGTGTTGCTGAACCAATCTTGGTGATGGGCATTGGAATTCCTCACCCAGAGTGTCCTTGTCGCTGTCACTGTCAGTGCTTCTTCCAAATGTTGCTTAATGTAGAGTAGCACAGCTTCATCAGCTGAGGGGTTTAAGGGATGGGAAAACTGGTGGTGATAATCAGGAAATTCCTTGCCTATGTTTGAGTTGATGCCATGAAATTTCATGAAGTGTGCAGTCATTGGTGAGGGCTCCATGTACAATTCCTTTCCAACTGTGTATCACTGCAGGTGGAGTAGGACTCAGACACATGATAATTATGGTGTCTAAGATATTGTCTGTATGGTAAGATTTTATGAGTATTACTTTGTCAGGGTGGTGCTTGACTAATCTGTGGGACAGCTTTCTCAATTGTAGCACTAACTAAGAAGAACTCTACAGGGTTGACAGGGCTGCGTTGCTGTTGTTATTTCCAGTGTCTGGGTCAATGCCTATTTGATGGCAGTACAACTGTCCCACTTAAGGTAGAAAATGTTGCATCTAGAGTTTATATTTCATGTATTTGTGTTCATTTCTATTCCATCAAGTTGTTTTTCTCTATGGTGACTCTTCTAAGTTTGGAAAATTTTCCTCAAATTGATTACCTGTCAGAGCAATTTTATTGTTTCCATATGTATTGCAATTAAATTTAAAGGTCTCATTGGACTATATCCCTATTTATCCTCCTGCTGCTTACCACACATTGGTGAAAACATGCAAAAAATATGCCAGTCTTTTGAGTAAAACAAGTAAAATTAAAGTGTATTAAATTTTACACATCCTGGTTAATTGCATAATTTCTAACAAACAAGGATTTGTTCTGTATCTCATTTGAAATCTAGTTATTCCATCCCAATATGTAGGTTTTGCTATGTTCTTAGACATGAAATAAGTTTCATCCCAAGAATGTGGTTATTTTTAATTCTCAACTGTACAAACTAATATTTTGAATGAGATTTTGCTTCTCGGCACTCATTTTCATTTTAGAAAACATGAAAAATGCTTTTCGAATCCTAAAGGCATGTTAGATTCCAAAGCTATCACATCTTTTTTGTCTGACAAAGATGTAGATATAAGTTCTGAAGCTTTTGCAGTTTATTCTGGATTCTGAATGTTGAAGCTTGGAGCTATAAAGTTATCTGTGAGTGGAAGTATTGAATCTGATGCTTATTTTAGGAGTGTGCTTGGCTTGCCACCTGTTTGCTAGTTTCAAAACCAGACAGAGGAACATTGAAGCTGTGTAGTAGGTGGAATCATGGCCTTTTTTTTGTTTGCTTTGGAAGGGATTAAAATTTATTCATGTGATTAATATTTTAATGTTTCCGTTCTGTAAAGCACAGAAATAAGAGGAA